TTCCAGTGACGTTCCACTGCTAAATGCTTCAGCCGGATTCGTGCACGATTATCTGATTGGGCCATACCTTCGCCTACACGCTTAGATGGATAAATTCATACCTTCTGTTTTTGCAGGAGGTGTTTTGCCAGAATTATGAAACAAACATCCAGCAAACATAACACAACGCATGTGGTTCCTACACGACGGGACACCAACCCATAACAGTGTGAATGTGCGTAACGCCTTAGATATCATGTATCCCGAGTGACGAATAGGTCGTGGGAGTCAATCAACTGGCCGTCCCGCTCACCCGATTTGTGAAGACTGTACTTTTTATTTTGGGATCATATGAAGAGCCTCGTCTGCAAGGATGGTCCCATAGATACTGCTAAAAACATCGTTGTCTGGTTGTCCGTAACTGCTGACGCCATGAGAAAGATGCCTGGTGCTTTCGCCAACGTACGGCTGTCACTCCTTCGAAGGTGCACACCTGCGTTAACGTTGGCGGCCGCAATTTTCCGCAGTTCCTATGATGGAGACAAAGTGTTGTTTATTTTCATAAAATGTTTTTCCTCATTTTATTGGGGTTTCTTTTCATTCCATCTCTGTCTGTCTTATTTCACATCATTTCGGGACACAGCAGCATGCATCGGGCTGTAACGCTTTATTGTCTAGTTGTACTCTATTACCCTCTAACATATGTATGTACCAGAGTTGGCCAAAAATGTAATCGATTGCATTTTTTGATTACAGTAATCAATTACTTGTAATCATGATTACAATTTTCAAAAATTTTGATTACAGCTGTAATCATGATTACATAGTCGATTACAGTAATCAATTACTTGTAATCATGATTACAACTTTCAAAAAATTTTGATTACAGCTGTAATCATGATTACAATTTTGATTACAGTAATCAATTACTTGCAATCATGATTCCAAGTAATTGCGATTACAAGTAATCACAACAAAAACGATTACGGGTAATTATGATTACAAGTAATCAAAATATATGATTACATGTAATCATGATTGCATGTAATTTGATTACATGCAATTATGATTGCATGTAATCTAAATACACGATTACAAGACTTATTCTTATGAATGATTATATTTTACAGTAGATAGTATAATGTATTTTATAACAATACATTTTGCGCGTATTTGCATGTACTGCATTTTGTACGTATTTGTATACGTACAAATGAATGTAACTAAAATGTATGTACATATGATTTTATCTAGTGCATATGTTCAGACATCTTAGTTTCACACACATGTACATACACTTATATTGTAAGTATAAAATATATGTACGTATGTATATAGATAATAATTACGTATGTATGTGCAAACAATGTAGACATGTACATTCATACGCAATGAATATATGCACTTTATGCAAAAATTTGTGTACGTAAAATGTATATCTATGTTCATGTACGCATGTATATACAAGTACTTGTTGTTTGTACGAACATAAATACATTGTCTGTACAATGTATGTCCCATGCATGCATGTGCAATTTATTTATAAACTGTATAATATACGTATGCATGTACAATAAAGGTATATATGTGGTATATACAATATATGTATGTATACATGTACATGATATGCATGTCCAATGTATTTATGTACATATACGCAATATGTTCATATTGTATGTATCCAAATATGCATAATACATTTGTGTACGATTGTACGTACATTGGGCGTATTTATATTTTACATATATTCATACATACATTCGACATGCATAACGTATGTACATACACACATTTGAGATGCATATATTGTACAGTTGTATATATTGTAGAGATGTATATACACATAGCGTACAAATGTATATTCATATAATGTACATATGTTGAAATGAACATATAATGTTCATATAATGTGCATATGTGTGTACGTATACAGTACATATGTGCATAAATATATTGGGCATAATTTTTTCATGCATGTGTACATTAATACATGTGTACATGCATGCCATCCCTATCTATGCATGTGGTGTAATGTATATATGTCCAATGAATGTATCCACACATGTACAATGCACGTATGTTCCATGTATGCATATCTCTATGTACTATATATGCATGTGCAATACATGAATGTATATACATACATTGTACATGCGTGCATACATTACACTTATACATATGCACATTACATTTATGTCTAAATATGTGTACAATGCAATAAATAAAATGCATGTAAGTTAACTTTTAATGACTCAAGCAAGTTAAATGACAAAATCAAACGATATTTAAATATAGTTTTCCGCTTTAATTGTTCTATATCATTTTGAAATTCTTTCAATAAAAAATTATTTTCAGGTATTTTCATGAAATGCTTGACATTGCAGATTTTTTTTTTTATAACATAATGCATTATTTATAGAAATTTTTTAAATGGTAAAAAAAAACGGTAAATTTTATGTGTGGAAATAATATTTAGAAATTTAAAATAAAATTATCGTTTGCTTTCTAAAAAATATGAGGTCGAGTTTTATATGCCTTAGAATAAATTTTAAAACAAACTTTAATAACTTTACTTATATAAATTTTTTAATGCATGCACAATGTATGTGTGTATTGTAATTACGTATATTTAAATGTACGCATGTATTTATACATTGCTTGTAATTATGTACATGTATACGTTGTATGTACATGCGCACATTGTGCATATAACTATTTTTTTGCACATTCATACATTACATGAGCATAAGTATTAACAAAGTATGTAGTTATATGACAAGTACATACGTACGTTGTACATAAGTACATACTTTGCGTGTACATACATCGATGTACAGATAAATGTGCATGTATACATGTACGCATTTTATTTATGCAACTACGTGCATATATTGTACCTTTAAATAACATTCTTACATATTGTACGTAAATACGTACAATTTTACATACATACGTACATTGTATCTACGTGCTATTATCGTAAATTTATACAATGTATGTACTTAAGTACATAAAAGCATGCAAACGCATAAACATTATTTTCATATACGTTCATACATATATTGTCTATGTATACAAAGATACAAAACATTGCCTTTTTGTACAAACTAACATACATGCGTACATGTATCATAAATGCATAATTATATGTACTAAGCATATGCGTATTTCATTTGGTATATTACAATACAATTATGAATATTGTACGTACGAACAACGTTTGTGCATACATTGTATATATAGGAATCGCAAATTGTACGTTCATGCGTGCGTACATTCTATGTACATAAAAATATGTAAACACATGAATACTTACATAAAAA